ATTGATCACTTTCCCCTCAGATTTAACTATAGCACCTTTCTCTAGGAGATTTTACTTCATTAGTTGTAATATCAAATTGTTCTTTGTCAAACATTATTTCTTGGGGAATTTTAGATTGAAAAACTGGCCTATGAAGCTCCAATTTATTACCTAAAACTGTGAATGTTTTCCAGGTATCTACACAGGATCTCAGTTTACCACTGTTAGAAGAATGAGAATTACTGACCCTATCAACTTTGGGATGCTCTTGTCATTGAAGAGTGGAAGTAACAGTACTTGGTGGAGTCTGCTGATTTTGTGGGACGACTGAAATAGTTCCTATTTTCATAACTTCTGTAGTTATTATAATTATTATTATAAGAATAAGGTTGATACCTTCTTTGACCTCTATATTGGTTTAAGCGATTTAATTCTCTACCTTTACCAAAGGTATTTATATCCACGGCCTTGTTTTAGAGCGACACCATACCGATTAGCCTTACTCAAAATCCCATCCCCCAAGAAGCCATGGGAGTCTTTTCTTTACCTAGACTTGCATACTTTATATCAAGCAAAAAATCGACAAATTATATTGAACTGTTGAAAACGGTGATTACATCCGAAAATAGCACCTTAGCTTCCTCATTTGAAAAAATTTCAAAATTTCAGTCAGCGAGATGATATATACCATCCCTATAGCATTTAAATGCTGGATTTTTTTAAATCCTTTATCAACGCCATGATGAGATTTTTCTATATCAGTCCAAATTTCATTATTGACAAGTGGAGTACCAAGCCTCTCACAATTACCAGGCGATTAATACTTGTAAATGATGCTGGTTGTTTCACATCGAGTTGAACAAGCTTAATAAGATATGCAAGAAAGTTAGAGACATCAGGACCTCTTTCAGGTACCTTAACGTGGGCAACTGCCACGAATCAAACTCACCAACTAGAGAATCAGATATATCTAGATTAGCCTTCTGAATGTCTTCTGGTGTCTCTGACTGAAGAGAGCATTGTTCAACAATCTATTAATAGAGGAAGAATATCTTCCGTTTCCATTGCTATCTAAGTGTTGATCGAAATCGTTGAATCTAAAAATATTTATAGGAGTTGTTGACCTAGTTCTTGAAAGCGCTTTCAATATTTCTCGTGAACACTGAAAGGCACGATTTTGACAAAACTTGGAAAAATTATTCAGTATCACCCCAAAAAGATCACAAGAATTGAATGAATGAAGGTTGAATATTTCATACTTGTGATTGGTACTGTACTGACAAATATTTATTATATTCAAAATCAAGCGGCCAGTGGGTGTATATTACCTTACATGGCAGGCTATCTTTGTCTATACAGGTTATTGAAATAATGGCAAATAATGAAAATGTTCTGGACACATGCCAGATGTTCGCCCAGATATCACTTATTGTCTGGGTAATATAATACCATTTCCTCGCATGACGACATAGTCAAGCAATCAGCAGATACATCAATGATGACTTCATGCCGTAGTGTTCCGACAACCCCTGATCAAAAAATCTGTAAATGTTATCAACACAGTAAGAAATCTTTAACTCATTTTGACAAATAAACGTTTCAATGAACTAGTGAAATGGTGACTTGTCCTGGTAACCAAATTACCACTACCCACATCCAAATTGCAAATCAAATAAAGATCAAATCTAGAGCAGAAATTAAAAGTAAAAGTGGCTGATATTATAGATAATAAATTGCAAAGGGAATTGAAAATTTAGAATCAAGAGTAAACAACATTTGTGATAAAGTGGGTGAAGAAATTGGCAAGCTTAAATCAGAAATAGAACTTCATTACAAGGATTATCAAATAAACCACTAAGATTAGGCTGAATTTAACTCACTAAGTTAAGACTATTAGTAATATACCTTGAGGATAGAAACGAGAAGTTGCACCCTGATCAAGTAGTGTCTAAAGTGAGTGACCTCATCAAAAATAGACTTGACTTGACGAGATTAATGTAACCTATGTTGAACGACTAAAACTAAGAAATCAAAGTACATAAAAAAAAACAGATCACCTAACAGTCAGTAGTGATCACTGTAGAAAATCGACAACTAATCTTTCAGAAGAAACGTTCACTGAACAGTTCTCTTCAATATAAAACAGTTTATAATCAAGAATTTCATTCACAGCGTGGGTAACAAGAGATTACATAATATATAAATATAACAATTTCTACAAACTAATAATACAGGTTACATATAGATATATATAATGTTAAATAATTCGATTTGTTAAACAATTAATTATATTATATTATATTTACATTTCAATTTGAAGAGATTGGTACTGCTAAATTATTTTATTTTTAATCTTGTCTTTTCGATAATGTAAAAGAAAACCTTCATATTTGATAAAACTCGTATATTATTATAGCTAAATAAGTTTTTTTATTTTATAATTTGACGGATATGTTATATAATTTTTAGGAATGCATTTAATTCTGAAAAAATAATATTGACGGATGTTGACATAAAAAAAAAATTGCAGTGTTCATCGCCTATTTGATTATAACATAGTGGAAATATTCTGTCATCTCTGGGGATGTTATTCCATCTTCCGATTTCAATAGGTAATTTTATATTGGTGATTCTAAATTTACATAAATATATTTTAATAAATTGATCCTGAGTTTTGTGTTTGATAGAATATTAAGAAATTTTGTATTCAGAGATGATATCGATTGGTTAGATTATATATAAGAGAATCCGTTTTGATCAAGTATTTCTTTTATAAATTCTATATATCTGAATTGTTTTCGACCTGATAATGTAACTAATATCAGGCTATATATTTTATGCGATAATGTCTCTTTTGGAGAGACTTGCCGAGTTTGGATAGGCAAGCACGGACTAAAATAGAATCATGCGTTGTTGGATATTTAAAAGAATAGGAAATCTGCCTGTTTCTCCATAGATCATATGATTTGGCGTTGTGTTTCTATTTATAATCCGTTTACAGTATTGAGTGTGAATTTGTTCTAAATCTGGGCAATTCTCATAGCCCCAAATTTCACATCCATACAGTAGAAATCGACAAGACTTAAGTATCAAATAATTTAAATAGTAAATCTATTAGAAGTGAGTTTCCTATTTAGCCTATAAGTTGTTTTCTGGCTATATGCAGCGGACACACTAGGCGAATTTTCACGGCGAATGGTTCGGGCGAATCAATCGGCAGTAAAATTCGCCGTGAGTCTCCTAGTGTGTCCAATGCTCCGACGTTCGCCCGAGCGTCGGCCGAAGCCATTCGCCGACATCAAGCATGTTTGATAATATTCGGCCGAATATTAATCGCCGCCGACTCATTCGGCAAGTGTGTCCATTCGGCCGAAGGTTAAGGCGAATATTCCTATAACTCAACCAATCACAGACGCCGAAGCGTCACATGACAAACAATGGCGTCACATGGCGACCTCCAACGATGCAATGTGGAGTCAGGAAAAAGAAGAGGAATTAATCATATTATGGGAGTCTAAGCCCAACTTATGATATTAGCAAACCCGATTATAGGGACAGGGTGCAGAAGGAGGCGGCGAAACAGTTCATCGCTGATGCACTGGACACATCAGGTAAGTTTGCATGCCTACCAATTCAATTCAAATTAGCCCGGCAAAATGCCTTAACTGACTGAGTAGGCCTACGCAAGAAACCAACTTGCAACTAGGCCTATCGCAAAACCGTGAAATTTATAGTAGTGAAGCCAATATCATGATAAAGCAGAAATCCCAGAATTGTTTATCAAAATGAAATCTAAGATCGTACCTTACCTACCGTATTGGGTGTCATGAGGACTGGGTATCGATTACCAAATTGAGATCGATTATCGACGGTAGGCTACCGATCAATAATCAAAATATTTTAAATGGCAAATCTTCTAATCTTGGTCTATTGATGATATTTACCTGCATTTGTGTTATTTATTTATGTTAATGACAAATGTATTATTTTGTCTATTACACACCTCTACTGTGTGATCATAAATTTTCTAAATCATATTTCTCGGATTATTTTTGTATGAATTGAAATATTAACCTCAAAATAGTTCTGAGAGTCTTAGATAGTCTTCGGGTTGATGAAAATGCCAACCGTTAATTGAAAATTATATTTTGAATATTTGTGACATGAAAGAAAAAATTCAAGTTAAAAATCAATGTTACCAGAGAGGAGGTCTCAAATCTGATGTTGTCGGCTTGATAATTCGAAATGAAAAGGTGTTTTACATTCTACTTTTCTTTACTGTTTGGTCTAATGAAGACGGGCAAACGCCATGCAGTGTGCAATGAAAAACTTTTGCCATGACAGTGGCATAAGATTACTCTAATTTTCAACTGTCGAGGGATATTGAACACGGTGTCTAGGGCTTATTGTCCCATCCTAACGACAAGGCTTGATAGTTTGGGGCGTACAGGCGTTCATGTCGCTAAAATTCCTTTTGTTTGTTTTGCAGTTTCTGATTGTGTTAAAAGTATGAATTGTCTACGGACTGTTTTATCCAAAGTAATGAGTAAAAAACCAAGTGGAAGTGCTGCAAAACAACTAACAACAAAAGAAAAATGGATAAAAGACTTTACCTCTCGAAAACATTACAATCTAAAGTTTTGTCTAGATTAACTGTCAGTTTCTAATTTGAGCAATATTTGCTGAACACTTTTTCTTCAGATTAAGATAAAATTATAATGTCGTAAAGTAACAGAAATGATTTTATATAAAATAAAATACCAATGCCTTCAAGGCATTTCACATCGTTTTCATCGAAAAATAGATTGTAAAAAGAAATGGAGAAAAATTTTCACCTGGACGTACACCAGACAGACATGAGAATTCTATATCCGTCAGATGACGTAGTCTTAGAGGTCCCATGAGATGCGCACGCAGCCTCCTACTTCATTAGCACGCCAGCTTCGAGAGGGAAAGCATCGAAAATTTCTGAGTTCTCTCAGTAACTGAATATTTTCTAACGGTTTTGGGGCGTAACTTTTAAGAAAGTTTCCCGCATCGCTTTTTAGCGTCTACAATTGGAATTTATTAATTTTTCAAGTGTTGAACTTGTTTTTATTTATCTTTCGAAAGCGAAAGTACATTTTACTAACAATAGAAATGGCGGAAATCCCCATTAACTCTTCAGAGAAGAACGTCACTATTGACGGAGAATTCGATTTATCTTCAATTCTTTTTGACAAAAAGTTGTCCTCTACTAGTAAATCCATTAATGAGGGTCAAGAAAAACGGAAAAGAACTGCAAATAAAGCGATCAAAGAGTTGAATCACACTCAAACTTCGACATCTTGTCCTGACCCAAATTCTAAAATGGACTCGTCCACTTCTACCAGTATAGATGACACGACGGTGATGTTGGCTGAGACCAACTCAAAACTAGACAGTAACTTGGTAATAAAATTGTCAAGTGTACATATGCTGTTACAAATTTGACTGATCAGTTGATACAAATCAAAAAGAAATTTCCAGATGTAAACAAGGAAATGACTGAAACTGTAAAAAAGGCTATGGATTCTTTGACCCTATTAGGCAGTGTTTTAAAGAAATAAATCAAAAGAGACGTGATACGATTAAAATTGATTTAAATCAAAGAATGAAACCATTAGCTTATCCATCAAATAATGTGAACAATGGTACTTCTAAGAATTTATTTGATGATGACTTAAGAAGAAAACTAAGAGATTTAAAAGACACCAACCAAGCCCTTAGTGCTCCATAATATAGTACCACAGCAAATAGTTTTGGATACAACAAATCAAACCAATCAAAATATGGAAATAACAATTACCATAACAGATCTAACTACAATGATAATAGAAGCCAAAAGTCTTTTTTAGATTACCGCAGAAGACCTCAGAATCAGAGGGGGAAGGGGAAGTTTACCCAAACATCCCAGAAAAAGAAATAGTTAATGACACACCTATTCTGAATTTTAATGAGGTAAGAATTTCAGATTGGGACAAGTTTAAAAACTTTGTCAAAAATGATTTGAATAATTGTTTACTAGATTATAAGGCTGGAAAATTGAAAGAGCATATCAAATTCTGGAAACAAATTACATCAGATAAGAACATAATTACAAACATTTTAGGTTGTAATATAGAACTCCTTAATAATCCAAGCCAATTATCTTTCAACCACCCTTTTCAGTTTCCTAAAGAGAAACAAGCAGCCATATCAATCAAATTGTTAGAATTGGAAAAGAAAAATATTATTGAAAGAACTTATCATGAAGAGGGAGAATTTATCTCCAACATTTTTACTAGAGAAAAGAAGGATGGGGGGGCTAAGATTAATCCTCGATTTAAAAGAATTAAATGATGAGGTTATCTACAAACATTTCAAAATGGACATTTAGAGCATGCAATCAAT